ATTTATTCATTCGGAAATTTAGACCTTCGGGCTCAAGATATTTGTCTTGTTGCAGCAATCTGAGTTGATGATTGTGTTAAAAATATTTTTTTTCCCTGGAGAATACTTGTGTTCATCAAAAATCCTTCGACAAAGATATTTTGCGAAATTAATTGGAATTCTAGAACCTGAATATTATTCTTGAGTCATAAAATTCAACAAGAAACTCTTGATACAACAGCACAAAACAGGCATCAGAAGACTTCATCACCTCCCGTATTGGAACTTCATCGGGATTCGAACGTTAATTCATTTAGGTCCTTTTAGTGATATGACTTTTATTTTTAGATTCCAGGATTAATTTTTGGATTATATTTAGAAACTGAAAGTCGTATTTCATATTTTTACCGTGTTTTTTTTGTTGTAGGAAATAAGGTATTTTGTTAAAATTTACAAAGAATGTTCGCATTACTCTTTTTTATTTCTGGGTGCTCGTCTAGGATAAATATATATATATATATATATATATATATATATATATATATATATATATATATATATATATATATATATATATATATATATATATATATATATTTTTTGACCTAGTGAATGAAGTCACATCCCTGAGTGTATCCGCTACAAAATGTAGTTCTATGCCCTTAGTGTCTAATTACACTCACCTCTGTATATTGATACGTTGATTGTATTCTTTTCTTGGTTTCTATTTTTTTTTCCACATTGGTTAAATCAATGTAAAACACACTTATGCCTTAAATATTAAAGATGGTTTTAATAATAACAGTAGAGCACTAGCAACTCTTGCGTATCTACATCATAGTTTATGTTGCTCTAAGTCATTATTCTGCTTTAGCAAACAGTTCAAACGACCATAAACTGTCTGTCTGTCTTTTCCTCTGTCTCTATCTCTCTCATTATTTAGTCGGTTTGACTTAACTTGTATCATCATTTATAAGTCAAGAGATAGTATAGGATGACGCACACAAAAGTCCTTTACGTTCGTCATTTCATAGATTTGTTACGACGAGAGAGAGAGAGAGAGAGAGAGAGAGAGAGAGAGAGAGAGAGAGAGAGAGAGAGAGAGAGAGAGAGAGAGAGAGAGAGAGAGAGAGAGAGAGAGAGAGAGAGAGAAAGTCTTTTGGACATTTTTATATAATAATAATAATAATAATAATAATAATAATAATAATAATAATAATAATAATAATAATAATAATAATAATCGATTTTAGAACATTATATTATGTTTAAGATAAAACTCTAAAACATAACATTAAATACATCACAGTATGTGTATCACATAACCGAGGAGTTTACTGGTTTGCAACTTTGTATCATTGATAAACACTGTAGATAAATCCCTAGGAAATGTGCACACGTATCATCACAATAAATCATATTCGTCTAGGTTGCTTGGAGTAATTTCTGTTTCAAGATTTTAATCCAGCTCAAATTCCTTTTCTCTCTCACTCCACATTTTGCAGTTTGTCCGTTATGCATAGAGGGGAGTAGAGAACAAAAAGTAGAAAAGATCATTATGAAAATGTGTACCGTATTAAATTCATTTAGAAAACAGGGATTATCAATACTTTTCATCGTTTTTTTTTTCATACGTCACTAGTAACCAGTAATCAAGTTTTGAAATCTCTCTTTTATGGATATTTATTCAATCATTGGTATGTTTTAAATCAGCAACGTCAGCTTAAATATCTGCTTATCAGGTAAATAGTAGTCAGACAGTATTTTTATGATGATGTGAGATAAAGTCAAGTATTTATTATTGACCTTATTTGAATAATAATGTTTATTACATTTCAACAGAAATTTGAAATGATATCAATAATAAATACTTCAGGTTTGAAAATAGAGGAAATTAATTTACTTCAAAGCTCTTCCAATAGTTATTTGTTATTTTGTAAAACTGTTGAGTGTTTATCAAGGCTTTGTACATTTGCTGTTATTTATTTTTGTAAAGCTGTTGAGTGTTTATCAAGGCTTTGTACATTTGCTGTTGGATATTTTTGTAAAGCTGTTGAATGTTTATCAAGGCTTTGTACATTTGCTGTTATTTATTTTTGTAAAGCTGTTGCATGTTTATCAAGGCTTTGTAAATTTGCTGTTATTTATTTTTGTAAAGCTGTTGAATGTTTATCAAGGCTTTGTACATTTGCTGTTATTTATTTTTGTAAAGCTGTTGAATGTTTGTCAAGGCTTTGTACATTTGCTGTTATTTATTTTTGTAAAGCTGTTGAGTGTTTATCAAGGCTTTGTACATTTGCTGTTATTTATTTTTGTAAAGCTGTTGAGTGTTTATCAAGGCTTTGTAGATTTGCTGTTATTTAATTTTGTAAAGCTGTTGAGTGTTTATCAAGTCTATATACATTTGCTGTTATTTATTTTTGTAAAGCTGTTGAGTGTTTATCAAGGCTTTGTACATTTGCTGTTATTTATTTTTGTAAAGCTGTTGAGTGCTTATCAAGGCTTTGTACATTTGATGTTGGTTATTTTTGTTACAGCCATTGAGTGTTTAACAAGGCTTTGTACATTTGCTGTTAGTTATGTTTGTTACAGCCAATGAGTGTTTCTCAAGGGTCTGTTTGATATTAATCTATGTGAATTTAATGAACAGTTAGCCATTGTGTCAAAGTCTATAAGTAAACAGTGAATTTAGTATCACATCTGAACACTGAACTTTGACATTGATAAATGTTAATATCAACTTCAATCAAACAAGCTGAATCTTAAGTTACTTATGTTTGTCATAAGTAACTGTGACATATTTTTTTGAAGTGATGCACCTGATTTTTGAGTCTTGAAATTTTAATGCTATACAAATTTATGACTTTAATAAACCACATGAAAAAAAATCTTAGTCTGCATTTCATCACTAATCCAATTCTTACTGTAAGGATACCCCCACTTCATCAGAGAATCAGAAAATCGAACCTAGTAGGATATTTGTTAAACAAAATGGCGAACCAGGATTCAAACATTTGAAATTCTTTACAGTTGATCTAAGTAATCGGTGTGCCTTACGTAATTTTGGACTGACCGAAATATTGTTTTTGTCCTCTCTTTCTGTCGTTGGGTTCTTATTAAGATTTACATGTTCAGCAACATCCTCGCAGGCCACGGATGAAAATAACACTTTGCATGGATTTTAGCACTTGGCTGATGACGATGTGGTCAGAGAGAGAGAGAGAGAGAGAGAGAGAGAGAGAGAGAGAGAGAGAGAGAGAGAGAGAGAGAGAGAGAGAGAGAGAGAGAGAGAGTGAGTTGGTCGGTGGTTCTTATCGGGATTTTCCCAGGCTTTGTTAACCATCGGTTTTACTTAGCGCTAAATATAGCCTAGAAATTGCGTTAAACCTCAAAACAACAAGAACAACAATAAAAACTCCTACTCCAAATAATCTAATGTATAATTATCTCTTGTTGAGAGAGAGAGAGAGAGAGAGAGAGAGAGAGAGAGAGAGAGAGAGAGAGAGAGAGAGAGAGAGAGAGAGAGAGAGAGAGCATATATGAGGAATTTTGTTGACACTGTAACCTGTTAAATTCATTTAGTAAAAAAATGTTAATTATTAATATCAATATTGATTCTCCTTATTATCATATTTTATCAATGATTACTTAGTGGAAATTTTTCAGTATTTCAAAAAGTACCGTAGCTACAGTCTGTTCATGAAAGTATACTTTTGTGCTTATTCTTAGGTCATGGGTGAATGTCAGTTTGATAATTTGATATACCAAGTATATAGGTACATAAAAGTGCTGTATACATACACTTTTAAGTCCATGTTATAAATAATGTACAGAAATATATTTATCTCCCTGTCTATCTATTAGTCTATTTTTGTGCGCGTAACACTAAATATATACATTTCGTAATTGCAGAAAAGAAGAACAGTTCACTTTCGTAGTTTGAACAACGAGTTTCGTGAGGAGGACAATAACTTTATGTTCGTCTGGTTTGTCTTGTATCTGCTGAGATTCTGGGGAACAGCTCGCTTTGTTTTGTCCTTAACCGCCATCAGTACCAACAGTGAAAATATAGGACTGACGCAGTTCGTGTTGCTGAACATGCAAGGGATTGGGGATAGCAGTCAGGCCTTCTGGAACTTCATCATTTTTTGTTTATGTGACAAGACAGTCCGCAATGGCATCATGGGACGGTGTCAAAATGGATCAGAGCAAACACCGTTAATTTCCCCTATTGATGATACAGACGCTCGCCGTTCTAGACAATGAACGAAGATATAAGTAACTGTGTGAATTAAAGTGAATCAAATGAATTTGTAAACGTCATTGAACGTGTTCTGATACCTGTACAGAAGCAGGCTTGAAACTGACTACAGATATCATCACACAATTAAAGACATCAAGGATGGTCCAAATACATCTTCAGTATTTCTAAGTTTCATCATTATTTTTATAATATATAGGCATTGTATTGTATATTTAATGTAATTATTTGTTAGATAGTTTTTCTTTTAGAATTTTGTTTATTTCATTACTTGCTCATGAAATGTAATATTGTAAACTGGATCTAGTCCAAACCTGGGTTCAATTCTGCTAGACCCAAATTGATTTTTTTAAAAACATTTATTCTTGTAAACAACTAATACATAGCTGAATTGTTCTCTGTATGTATGGGTTTGAATCATTATTAGTATTAGTATACAAAAATGTGTTTTTTGTGTCTAGGTTTTAGAATTTCCTAAGTAAATTATACATAATCAAAATTATTGTTTTGTAAAATATCAGGATCATTCACAAGGTTATTTTTCATTTGGTAATGTTAATTTTTAGAAAATGCTAATTGTGACCTGATGTAAAGTATATATATATATATATATATATATATATATATATATATATATATATATATATATATATATATATATATATATATATATATATATATATATATATTGTAACTGAGAGAATTTTATCAGTTGCTTTAAGATCTAGCACATTGAAATTGTAAAAATATGTTTTGTCCAGTTGGGATGGCCTAGTGGTTAGAGCGTCCGCCTCGGATGCGGGTGGTCGTGGGTTCGATCCGCGGCCGATTCATACCAAAGACTCACAAAATGGTACTAACAGCTGCCTCTCTTTGCGTTCATCATTAAGAGGTTATTGTTAGGACTGGTCGGCCTGGTGTCAGGATAATATGACTAGGTGTGACATCATGCTATATGTTTTGCAGCATGATGCACCAATTGCTAGACATGACTATAAACTGCCACACTGCAGACATCGTAGCGATATGACTGAAAACTTGTTAAAGTTATGTTAAAAATTTAAATCACACACACACACACTTATTGAATTCAGGTGATTATTGTTTCTGTAAATAGAAAAGTGCTCTGATAAAATTCTTGGATAGACATTCACTGGTACTTATAGTGTATTCAAACCTGAAGTTATATTTCTTTGATTCAACAAAAGAGTGTTGACACATCAGTACACTATAACTATTACAGACACTTCATTGCCGTCAGTTTTTTGGATTTGTTCTGGACTTCGACCAAGTTTTATTCAGGACTTTAAATTATTAGGACTTGTGTCTGTATTTGTTAGACTATTTTGGGATTTAATTCGCATTACCGTAAGTTCTTTTTTTCTCACTTGCACCATGTATTCTAGAATTCTAGAGATGAAATTATTTATTAAATTTTATAAAGCTTATTGTCTTTCAATCTTTTATGTTACATATTTTAAGAGCATAAGCTGGTAACAGTATGACAGTATCGTTTATGTATATGTAATATAATGATTAAGAAGAATGAGTCCATATCAATACTTTGTTTCCTTTGCATTAGGTCTGCGAGACTGATATATAGGCTGACTATTTATTTAGGCAAGTTTAAATGTGAAGTTATGCCCCACGTCCCCGACAAAATAAGGGTGGTTTAATACCAACCCCGTTAATGATGCCGAGGTGTATTGTATTAATCTTGCATCAGCCTACAAATTGATTCAACTGGAAGAATATTTACCTCCTCAGATTATAGGTGAGATTTTTTGCAACGACTGCTGCCTTTAGCATAGAAACAAAGTATATATTATGGAAACAATGCCACAGATAAGTGTCCTCCTTCCTTTGTAAACTTTTTAGATTGACTCCATTGTTATCTTCCTCATTGCTGTGATTCTTATTTAGGATACATAGCTCTAGTAAGTAATGAATGCACTGTTGCCGGTCGGACCGAATGCACCGTGTCTCTCCTATAATGGCGAGAAACACTGATATCGCTTTTCTGGTAGAAACGACGTAGGTGTTGCTGTTGTCATCAACAATGAAATTGATGGTTAGATATGCAAATGAGACTCAAAGATAAAATGACTATGTCCAAAGTTTGTACCCTGATAAACCTTGTTACATGTACATGCAGGACTATATAATTATTCTGAAGCATTGTAATACTACCAATACAAATACATTGAGCAATCCAGATTGTAATAAATGAATGAAAAGATACTTCAACCATTGGCAAACCCATAAAAATGGCGAGGAAATGTACCACAGATACCTCAGTCAACTATCACTATCAATCAAAACCATAATATTTTTAAAATCCAAGCGGCCCTTTTGAGTTCCCACCAAAGACTCTTATAACAGAGATCCTCTTAGGGTAACTGCCAAATAAGAAAAGAAACCAAATCCCTCAATCATGAAATGTGTGTGCATATGTTATTTTATTTATACTTAAAAAAGACTCCAAGACATATAAGTTTATGTTTTTATCTAGAATAAGAATGTCGATGATATTCGAAAACACATAACAAAATGCAATTGTTTCATTTTTCTTCTTTAGTGATTTCTTTTGTTCTCTCGGATGGATCTGTATGCTGTTTTTCTGCTTGTCTTTCCATTTAAAGGTTCGTCATAAGCATGACTTTTTATCCAGTTTCGTCAGTATGCTTTAACTAATATAATTTCTTCACTGGAATTGACACTTCTCTTTCGCTTCGGCTTCTGAACCTCACTTCTTGTCCTTTTTTTGTGGGTGGGACAATCATCTGTAGACTAATATTCTATACTTTTCCATTCCTGTCAGGTATCGTTTATTTTGTCTCTCTTTTATACTGTCTTGGAGATTTCTTTTCTTTGACGTCTTGGACATTTTGGAGCACACAGACACATACTTTGACCTCACGAGTAGTAGCTTCAAGTCTTTTTGAAAGTGTACTTTCATCTCTGACCAGAAGTTTCATCTCTTGTGGCTGTTCCATCTTCATACATTAATACGCTGTTCCATTCCTGTTCATGTATCAATGACAAACAAAAAATGGTAAACATGAAAATTAACGTGTTGACAAGGAGCGAGACTAGATCAATTTAATTTTGCCATCAATACATACTATGTTTCTGTTCTAAAGTAAACTAATATATCTTCCCATAGCAAGAGAGTTGAAAATGGGGAGGGGTGTATAGAAGCAATATAGTAATGAAAGATAGTTTGTATGATCTGATCTACCCATCATTTTCAAGATTAATGTCATTTTCTGTTAATATGTCCTATCTATACTTGCATGAGTAAAAACCTAATTCAAAAGTACATCTTGGAATAAACCATGCCGTGACCAAACGGACACATGAACTGAAAGACAGCTTCATGCTGATAACTGCATATATATATATATATATATATATATATATATATATATATATATATATATATATATATATATATATATATATATATATATATATATATATATATATATATATATTATTTTTGGCATGCATTCATCATCATCATCATCATCATCATCATCATCATCATCATCATCATCATCATCATCATCAATCAGGCAAAGGCTCCTTTAAGTGTGTTGGATCCAAAAAATGACAGCAATAGATGCAGAATATTTAGCATTTGCCTTTCAGACGGGCACAGTTCTCAAACTGTTAGTCTGGTCCCCTGCTTAGTATGCTCCCTGCGTTGCACTCCGTTATACAGGGGATCAGACTATCAAACTGTATGTGTATTACGTGTTTAGAAAACATTCGACGCATATTCTGGAATCAGAAGGTGAGACATGTGGAGGATTATTAGAATGAATATTTTTAATGATTTTATGGAGTGTGTTGGAACGGAAAAAGCAAGACCAATCAAAGTAGTAAGAGCATACAGTATGAATACAATTTTATTTTCAACCTGCAAGCAGAAACACAGTGCATATGTTCATAATCACATATTGAAATTATTCTAATAGACGTTCGGGGGAGGTGTAATGTCCAAAGGGGGTGGGTGGGTGTGCAATTATTAGAGTACTATAATCATTATGGCCATCCTAAAATTATGCAGTAAACAGTAAACTAGACTCGCACTCCAGCAACAAGCCAGCAACATACCAGTTACGTTAAGTGGATATCTTTGATGTCTTGGAAATGGAACTGTTTCAAATGTATTACGCACGTGTACTGTTACTGGTGCCTGAGTTGATGTTTTTTGTAATACCGTACATCACTGGTTGACTGAAAACGTCCGTAAATTAAGTTGTTTTGAATTTTCTTAAGGTCGTTTGATTACTTATACACTATTTTTATTACTTTGAGGTTCTATAAAGGACATATATGGATCTAGAAGCTTTGATAAGGTAGGAATTTCATTTATTATTTTTTTTGTGGAAAGGGGTTCGGTATTAGTGGGTGGGGGTCTTTTAGAATAACCACGGTAATTACTACGGTAATGGCAGAGAAAGCATAAAAGCTCATCTTCTTCCGGTTGTCTCGAAATTTGGCAAGCTGGGAAATTTGGAAAGATGATTACAGTACACGTTAAAATAAAGCAGGACAGACAGCCTTCTACAGAATTCCCTTTTGGGTAATCTTTAACACGCACTTTTAAAACTGTATCCAATGTTCAGCGTGTAAGAAAAGAAAAATGTTTAATTTTAATTGATTTCAGCAATAGGAAACCAGTAAAAACAATGTGTCATGCAATATTTTACTCGTGTCCTCGCTTAGTACTTTTCGTTTCAAGGGGCGGATCGAGAAATATCCCTGAGTGGTTAGTTGTGAACAAGTAGGTGATGAGTGTTAGGGGCTTAGGTGCAGGAGGCACAGTTCCAGGAAGTTGCATCTTACTGAATAGAAAACATTCTGTTGTAAACGTCCGGTTTGTTTCGCGTACGGTTTTAACTTTCTTCTTAAATGTTTTTTTTTGTTTTTTCAGAGTAAGGGAGATCACTTAAGTAGTGATCAGTTCTCCCAACCGATTGACGTACCTTTGATTACTAATGGACCTCGCTAATACATCGCGGTTGATCCTGATAAAGTAATAAAGAAAAGCAGATATATAATCCTGTATCATCTTCATTGTAAAACTATCGAATTTTCTGTCTTTTAACCTCACAATTTTGTGACTTCTTGATGAAATTTATACAAAGATCGACAGCAGAAATGAGGTACATTCAATATAGTCATAAATGGTGTCAAGGTTTGTCTCTGAAACTTGACGTCCGGTTTTCGTATTCGGATATATTAAACGGTGCTCCAGCAGAAAACAGTTGATACAACTACAGAATAAATTTTCTAAGAACCTATTCGATGTTTTCATGCTCAGACGTAAATACAGATATGCTGATGCCCGGATTGCGCTCTCCTGTGAACAAGAGGGACGTGCCTTGCTCATACACATTACAATTTATTACATGAGCAATCAAGCGATCCTGGGATATAATTGACGTTCTCTCTCTCTCTCTCTCTCTCTCTCTCTCTCTCTCTCTCTCTCTCTCTCTCTCTCTCTCTCTCTCTCTCTCTCTCTCTCTCTCTCATGCACACGAAATTAGAGCTGTCAGGTTGTCGTTCCATTCATACATGCATACGCACATACAAACATACATAGCCACTATAGCCGATCAAGTTAGCTCATGTGCGTGCATGAGGCAGGAATACGCACACTATTTATTCTCGTTAAGGATTTCCATTTGTACATATATTGCTGAAAATAATTTAGGTCTCATGTTAATTTTCTTATATACCCTATAATCTTGTTGCTTTAATTAATATTAGACACCCCATATGCCCCAGAGTGCCCTACTGCACTACGTGATTTGTTCGCACGAG